TGGACTGAATGACAATGCTTAAACTCTAACTGGATTAAAAACTATTTAAACTACAAACAGTGTTTGTGTTCAGTGTGTGTATACTCTGGGGCCCTTCCGCTCTCCTTTGGTTGCCTGGCTTGACTACTGCTGCAATACTCTTCTAGGGGTTAATTCCCAAACCCTAACAGTATACTGCCTTTATTGACTCATTTACTGTTATCGTTTAAATTATCTTCTATGACGGTTACCATTTTGCCATACATGAATATTACTTTTGATATTGATCTGCTATCTGCTTGTTCATTGTAGCGAGCAATTAGACTTTCATAAAAGCCTGTCCTCTCTTTGCTAGTGAACGAACACTTCTTAGATACTTAGGCATTTTGAAGCAGGGGATGATCTAGATAAATTATGGGACTCGAGATGTGGGCTTCCTCCTAAAATGCTTGTTTGTTTTTGCACACTAACCATGTAGCAAAAATTGTAGAAGCACAGATCTGGAAGGATAAGGGAATATATCTATCACTTTGAAAATTAGACACAAGTTTCCATCCATAACCCCAAATGACTTGATGTGGCTTCAGCTGTAAATGGTTTTAGAAATGTCTGACTATGCTAGGTCATTATCTCCCTTTGTTGCAACTTTGTTGCAACTAAAGCTTGTTTAAATTATTGAATTATGGAAAATTCCCAGAAGTTTCTACTTCACAATTTTCTACATTGTGATAAATTATATTTTATGATAGAAGCCAGAAATTAATTATAAAAATAGATTCTTGATTTTGTTGCCAATGGTAGGTATCTTAAACTAGGCTGCAAGGAATTAAATAATAGGTTTTTTAGACTGTACAAAGAAGATAAAATTTCCTAACACCAAATTGATCAGAAGAGAACAGAAGATTTATTAACTTCTGTTTTGTTTGAAAGATTAATTATTTGAGAACTGTTTTCAAGGCTTTATTGCTATAATTTCTCCTGCATTTGCAGGACATATCTAATAAAATAAATTATATAGACCTTATTTATGTACTAAAAAGTAGTAAAATTTACTTGGAACTTTTTCCTCAATATTCTTATATTCATGCAAACTTTCTGCTCGTAGCTTAAAGCTACAATCCTAAACATATTTACCTAAGTCTCATAGAAAAAGAAATTATTTCTGAATAGAGATCATGGGAATTTTCTTCTTTGATGCCCTTCTTTCTCTGTGTCCTAATCAGTAATTTGTCACTGTGAAAGAAATGCATTGATCAATTTTACTACTATTATATGTAATTCTGTGTAATGGTTTAAATATTTATTTTTCACTTTATGAATTGTATCATTTGTTGCAGAATTATCGACTCATAGATTTGGAAGGAGTCAATTAGATGAAGTTCAGGAATCCAAATCATAACATTTCTGACAAACTGCTGGCTAACCTTTTTTAGATTGTGAAGGGAAATCCACCACTTCTTAGGGTAACAGTTGGAAAGCTCTTATTTTAAAGAAATCTTTCCTAAATATCCAATTGCAATCCGTCTTTCAATCGCATGCATTCATTGTTTTGTGTTCTGCATTCTGGAGCAATTATGAATAGATCTGTCTGTGTGACTCCTTAAACTATGGCAGTCAAGCTGGAAATATTACTGGGGAGAAGACAGCTCAAGAGGAATTATTCCTTCTCATAATTTGTAAACTGTATTTATGTTGATGTATCCTGAAAATGCATTTTCCTTTTTCGCAGCCACGTTATATTGCTGACTCATTTATACTGTAGTTTGCAATTGAACTACAATTCTAAGAACATTTTAAAGCACTATTGTCAAACTTGATGATATCTTCCATCATGTACTTGTGCAATTGATTTCTGTTTCTTATATGAGGTACCTTGCATTTGTCTCTGTTAAATTTTATTCCCACTTCTCAATGACAAATTGAAACAAAGAGGCATCTATCAAGAATATTTTCAATTTTATTTCTGTTTTTCAGTGTTATCCAAATATTTTTGTGATGGTATAAATCTAATAAAATTTTCCTCTACCACATCATCCAAATAAATCTTTCCAAGTGTACAAGACTTAAGACAATCTTGGACTAGATAACTCATTTGAGTTTGATGAAGAACCATTAATTTTCAAGTCAGTTATGCTTTAATTGTCATTTCAATTGTAATTTTCAAGTCAGTTATGCTTTAATTGTCATGTAATCCAATCCAATCTGTTTAGTAATCAGAATATCATAGAATATTTTGTGAAATACTTGGTTGAAACCAAAGTATATCTACAGCATGGAAATATACTACAGTATTAGGGAAGTTACCCAATCATTGAATGAGCTAAATTTGGTGTAGCACAATTTATTATTCAGAACTCCATGCTTATGTTTTTGTCACATTATTTTCCAAGTGTTTAGATCAATCCCTTTACAATCTTCTCTAGAATCTTCTCACTTATTGATGTCAGATTGATTTAGATTCTACTTCATTATAATCTTTTTTCTCCCTTTTGAAGATTTGGAAATCTTCCTGTCTACCTCTTCAGTTATGCTCCAGATTTTCTCAAAGATAATATATATATTGCATTGCACTTGTGCTAATGTATAGAAAGTTAGATCAAATTTCTTGAGAGTGAGCTATTTGAAAAACAGGATCAACGTATAATTTATAGAAAGTAAATAATTATTAATATCAGAAGAGTTGTCATACTAAAAATATTAATCCTGACTCAGACTATTAAGAAACACATTACTTCAGTCAAGATCATTAGATCATGAAGTAAGAAAGAAATCAGGCTGGCTTACATCAAATTCAATAATATTAGAAAACCACTGAGAAATATTTTCATTTTTCTGTGCATGTGTGATGCAGAATGTGCTCTTATTGCCTGTGTACCAGAGCCAGTATATAACTACTATCAATTATTGGGATTTTAAAACATCAGGCTTTAAGTTTTATTTCTGAATAAAGATTGATAACTAATACCGTAACTGATACAACTGGAACATTTTGAAGGAATTATCATTTCTCAACATCTTGTGTGTCAGGAATTAGTGATCAGAGCTGGAATGCAAATGAGTTCATGCAGTCTCTCTAGAGCAGAAGTTTTTAAAAAACTTTTTTAGGTTGTGGAACCCGTTGATAAAACCCCAAAAATCTTAGAATTCCTGATCAAGAAGCCAAGCTCCAATAACAGAAAAGTGGGTCCATCTAAGAGTTCGTTTTTTCCCGTGGTCTCTGATCAAATTGAAACACCCTAAGTATAAGTCAAAAAAGTTTTCCAGTGTTTGCTGAGTTAGTATTCTTATCAAGTTCCCCAGCTCTGGCCTAGCTACTTGGCTATTTTTTTCTAAATATTTTAGTCTGTTTATGAAATGTTGATACTTACAAAGATCTGATTTATTCCAGTTCATGTGAGAAATTGGATTTGTATTGTTGTTTTTCAGGCAGGGAAATTAGAAGAAATTCTTCAAGTTGAAGAAAGATATGTGGAACAGTTCAAGTGAGTTCTGCAAGCAGTTAGGTACAGTGCTCTTTCTATGTATTAACTCTATAGCTGAGATTTGCTTTTGACCCAGGAAAGATGGCATGATCATCCTAAAAATGATACAGTGGGAGGGGATGTTGCAGGAAGAGGATAATGTCAAAAGTTGGATTGTATCATAAGCTTCATTCCTTTTGTATGTACTTGATACTGCATGCTTGTATAAGGCTGCATTGCTTATGTTTCAGTGGTGCAACTTGATCTTCAGCAGTTTGATAATGTTCAAATGAGCACTTCGGCCTCTAATAGTGTAATTACAGTAGGGACATATTTGATTCCTCTCGTTATATTTACAAAAATGAAATTGCCAGTATGTTCTATTGCTGGTATTTTAAAGAAGAGATTGGATGACCATTTGTCTGAAATGATATAGGGGCTCCTACTGGAGCAGAGAGTTAGATTAGAAAATCTACAAGGTCCCTTCCAAATCTGTTCTGAGTTGGCAGCAAACAAGTGGATGGATGGATGGATGAAAAGAAAAAGAAAGGAAGGAAGGAAAGGAAGGAAGGAAGGAAGGAAGGAAGGAAGGAAGGAAGGAATTACACTTTCCCATGACTTGGAAAATCATCCCTAGCTATTTAAAGATGCTTGATCTTATCCCCATGATCTAGCTTTAACTTTTTGACTTTCTTACAAAAACTATGATCTTCATTTTATTAATCTATAGCAAATGAGCCTTACAAAAGAGAATCAAAGCCTTCGTCACCTTCCTTAATTATATTGGGATCCAAAGTACAATAGCCATGTAATCTATGCTTAACAAGATTGCTTTCTGTTTAAATGCCAACCTTAGGGGGATGGTGTTGCATTTTATTAGTGTTATACAGCATATTTTAAAAAATTAACATTCAGGCCCAGCTGTCTGCATCACACAGTTGTGATTCAGAGATAGGAAGGTTTAGCCTTTAGAGGGAAGCAGTGCAACTAACCACTGATCCACGTGGACAGAAGATTACTTTTCTAGTGGCATGACTTCGTATCTGAGCTTGGATTTTTCAAAGAAAGGAACACAACCTTGTAGATTGTTCTATAAGGATTTGAAATTTAAAAAAACGACAAGCACTTTTTCTAACAGAAAAACCTGTTCCCGGTCTGTTTTTCACTTCGTAGCCAAAAATGAAATATGCTGCTTTATGGTCAGATGTTAAATGTTGTGCAATTTCAATCTCTTGCTTTCCTTAACCTTCCCTGCCTGAGTGGCCTCCAGATGCTTTGGATTACAGTTTCCTTATTTCCTAACTTAATACAGCATTGACCATGCAAATCAGAATCATGCTAGGGAAGCTTACACTGGAACCAATTGAAACAGGACTGTATCAGATCCATTCTGGAAAAATGCCTTTGGTGATATGTGGAGGAATAGAAACTAACTTTTTGTATTCACCTCTGTGAGAACTAAAAACTATATAGGAAAAGAAGACCTTGAATCTTGATTTGCTTCATTTCTGTTCCATTTTGTAACAATAAAGCATCATCATGGTTATACGTTGGGAATATATCTTATATCTTGTGCTACCCAGAAGACTATATCATTCTCCCTCTCAAGATGTTTTTTATTTTGTTGTGGAATACTAGCAGACTCACTAGCCTACCATCCCTGAATAGCATTGATTCCCGATTCCCAAGAAAAAGGCAGAATACTTTCTTTCTTCCTTTATCTGCTTGATTCATTCAAATTAAGACTCAAGTAGATGCAGTGAGGGAATCTGTGAAAAGACTTAATATTTCTGTAGTCTATAAATGGTAAACTTCAGTTGTCATAATTCTTACCCATCTGGAAGGCAGCCCATGGGGAAGGTGGTTCGGGGGGGGGGGGTGTTTAGCAATATTTTTTTTATTTTTTATTACAACAAAAATCAATGTATGAACAGTGTGGTTCCATAGTGTCTTACATTTTGATACAAATATGACAATATGCCTTTTACTTAATATAGTTGACAATTTTTCAAATTTGATATTAATACATATAATTATTAAATTATCAATCTTAATTATTCAATATTACAGTATGTTTTTTTATGTCACTCCTTTTACTACCAATTATATATTAATTATATATTATATATTAATTATATATTAATAATCACCACCAATTTTACTACCAATTATATATTAATAATCATACTTGCAGTGTTTATCTAATTATATAATTCTAATAGCATTTCACAAATTTATATTAAATTATACATTTCTATTATCTATCCCCTTATTAATTTCTGAGTATGCCACTAGTATATTTAAAAAAGAAAAATTCCCCTTTCTGGTCATATTTTAATACAAATTCAATAACATTCATCATTCTTACATTTCACAATTTATACAGTTCTAATAATACCATTATATTTTCATTAAATTTCACTTTTCATTGTCTTGTATAATACTTCACAATGTTTTTCTTTTCTTTTTTTTAACCATCATTTCTTACTTGCATTAAAGCTTTGGTTTTTCGCTTCTTAGCTTGTCTCCCATATTCCTCTCTCATATTTCCATTTCTTTCTATTTTGCTTTCTTCATGAGAATTTTGCATCAGTTCAGTGCCATCTCTGGACTTATCTGATCATCCAAAGTTGGCTGTTTTTGAGAGCTGCATTGGTTATGAGAGCTGAAAGCTGAAGCTGTTGCAATTTCTTTGAAACATACCTAATATTTTTGTTGACATTTTGTGACACTGTGAAGCTTATCCATAATCCATTTCCCAATTGGCTTTTACAGGAGACAGTTGGTAGTATAGATTCCGCTCTTTTTTTTAACAAAGACTTTCTCTGTTTGTGATGTACTTGTGCTTCAGGTAAAGAAGATTGGCTTTAAATTGGTTTGGAAGGATTAGGGAAATGACAACAATTCTGGTGTATAAGTGCTGTCTCATCTCAGAAAACGATCAGTCCTATAGGTATCCTTTTAATAAAAAAGAACCCCACAAGAATCTTAATCATGATTTTCCTATATTACACATGATTTGGTCCAGCTGGATTTGTTAATCATATTCCGTGTTTCATCCAGAATTATTTTGTTGATCATTGTTGAGGGTAGGTAGAAATGTGGTAGAAAATGCACGAAGCCATTGCTCTAAATAGTTAATTCAGCACCCTCTGCCTTATAATCTATAGGGAGACCATAATTCTCTAAATTTTCAGATGGCCTGCTAATCCTAGAGCATTTGGAGGATACTGGACAAAATGAGGGCAGGACTAAAAGTGTTTCTGCATATGGTTCTAAGCCCCTTTCAACCAGTTTATTTCAGTAGGGTTAATGAAGAAGTCTCACAGTATTTGTACTTCCTTCATAACACTACTGTGGTATTTAAAAAAAAATCCTTGTATGCTCTCCTAAACTCTTTGAAGGAAATAACGTTTGAAAGAAATACGGTTTGTGTATATATTTATTGTGCTTTGCGTTTTTTTCCTAGCAAAGAAGTCCATTTGTCCAAAGGCACCAGCAAAGTATTCCAGAAATGAAGGCATTCTCTAACTTCAGACTAGACGGTGAGAATTCAATGCAAAAAGAATGCCAGCATATGTATGCCCATGTGTATGTGTTTGTGTACTCTCTTCTTGTTTTCTTGCCATGCTAATTGTTACTTATGCTCAGAGCCAACCTAAATGTATGCCCAGAAATATAACATCCTTATCACTATTAATTTAGAATTTTAGGCCCTAATCTTGTAATCCTGAAAAGGCCTATATATTGTTGTACACAGGCAAAGCTAGAATCTTAACTATTTTTAATAATCTGGTTTTAAATAAGTGATAAAAAGAATACTAAACAAAGTCATACTGTATGTGTCATTACTTCTGGATCAAAATGTGATGGTGGTTCTTGGATTTATATATTCTGTTGTAAAAAACAACAGATTTGTTTCCTCACGGTTCCAATTCTTTGTAATAAGCAAGCCTAGGTAAAACTAGTTGGGGGCCATTAAGGCAGGCAATTTGTGGAGATCTCTGCCAATAACGCCTCAGTGATAAATTATATTATTAGACAGTTGAATTAGGGTGTTAATCAGATTTGATTCTATTTCATCTACATTTTTTAAAAAAAACTACATTTGCATTTACTCATTTGGCAAAGTTTAAATGTAACATGAAGTCCTGTGGATGTTATACAATACCCCCAAAAAAATTTACACATCACAATAATTAAGAAAATCATCTTATTTCTTTTGTGGTATTAATTAAATAAAAACAAAGACAGCTAAAATACTTTTTATCAATAAACTTGTTATCAATAATGAAGAGTCTGATAGCATCTTGTCAGACTAACAAATTTTATTACAAAGCACAACTTCCAATTTTTGGCTCTTGTAGACTGACAACATGGTACTTGACTGCAATGCCTCTTGTTAGCAAAGTTATTAACAGAACATAGAATAAAATAAAATAATTATAAAACTATATACACAAACCAGTCCTTGAGAAGGAAAAGGTAATCAAGATGCATAAAAAATGCTTTCTCTCAGCATTAGATCTGTAAAGGCTCCACATTTATAATGTTCAGATTTTTCCCTGACAACTGTGGCAAACAAGCCCATACTTACTATTTCATATGAGAAAGTTGCCAAAGTAAGAATTATTCAAAAACAGGAATTCTCTTGGGCTCTCCATGCATTTTATATCCAGCAGAATCTTCTACTGGTGTCTTGCTTGATGGATCTGCTGCATAGACATTGTGGAGATTGTTGTATATTTCCAAAGCCTTTTCTCCTATGTAGTAGATCATTCCAGCACTTTTATCATCCTTTGATTTCCTCAGCCATTTATGAATCGTAGATATAATTGCTGTTTCATTTTCCTCGTACCTTTCCTGCCAGATTTAACTAGAGGTGGTTTGATAGGCTCTATTTTTTCTTGCAGCTGTTGGCTAAAGAACTGAAAACTTTTTTTCAGGTAGGCTAAAGAAGAAAAGTTCTGATTTTTTGACCCCCCAAAATATTTCTTGGGCATGAGAAATATCAGGGAGAATTTGATTGCTGTGCTTTCAGATTTTCCAGCCAACACACTGCAGGCCTCAACAGCTTTATAACAAGTTCCTTTATTATTCATTACAGTGCAGTAGATGGAGAACATCCAGTCTCTAAGAAATTTCAGGCAATACTGCCATGTTCCCGAGCACCTCAAAATGAAATAGGGAAAGGCTTCATGTAGACTCTGGAAAGGACAATAAGCAGGCTTTCTAATCTGTCTGTACACACATATAAAAGGTTATGCCCACTTTTATTGCCCTGTACCTTGTTAACAATTTAAACATGTGACTTAAGCATTATTTACTATGTTTCAGATATTAAACATATGTTATGTTAAACATTCCACAATAGGAGATGCCTGACCCAATCCGATGATAAGCTCATGGGTCATTTAGAGAATATAGCTTTCCATTCCTTCTTGACATCCTATTCATGTTCTCACAGTACCTGTTAAAAGATGTTGATGATTTTTATAAATATGTGCTCATCTGTGATGGTTCAATTTCATTCCAGGATATATTGTTTAAAACACCAAAATAAATTACAATTAAGTTACAGAATTGAAGAGACTACTAAATTTGTTGCACAGCTCTGTACAGAAATTCACTTGGCAGTAATGCACATTTGAGTGGAAATTGTTTAGTAAATTATCAGCTAATTTATCAGTTTACAGATGTTTCTACTGATTACCAGATGTGTTTCAAATGGAACATTAACAGATCTTCACCGGATTGTAATTAAATCCAATATAGGAAAGATTATTATGCAGCCTTTTCCATCATGACCAATTTTAAAATGTAGACTTAAATTTCAACAGACAATCTTATTCAAAAGATACAGATGGAACTACAGAATAAAAATAAGCAAATCCAAAAATCAGTTGCCTTACTGTTCAAACTAATTTTGTATTTCAAAAGTATTCTGACGTAGAATTTAATTCTATCTGGAAATCATTTTGGGGTTATATCATTATATGCACATTTGCACAACATCTGAAATTTGTGTTCTTACTAGATGCCTTTAATTGCTCAGATAGAAATTAACGCAATACTTTATCTCATTTTATGATTTACACTGTGCTACTATTGCTATTGATATTCATGTACTACTTGAGTTTTAACAGTGATTTTGTGATTTTCAAATAAATATTGAACACATTCAATAACAAAAAGCTAAATGAAATATTAACATTTTAATTAATATTTAATATAAACTAATCCTAATCCTGTTTATTCATTGTGTGCTTTATTACTTTCTTTTTTTAACCTCTTTTTCTCTTTTATGTGTCTTTTTTATTTTCCTAAACTACTTGATAAAAATATAATTATGACAAACTTGCTTGATTGCCTATAATTGTTCTGTAAATTGTTTGCAAATGATGTTAACATATGAGTGTGTAAATAAAAAGAATGGAAAACGGTAATTGTCTACTAACTTTTTTGCTACTCAGTGTTGAAAAAAATAGCAGAATCAATCTTGAAATATTTATCAATTAACAAACATTATGAATTGGTGGTTTTAAAATGTTGTTGCTGACTTTATGTTCTATATTTGATTTGATTCTGGAATTCTTATGTCTGCCATTAATGATGGGATAGCTTTTAAAATGTGAAAACAAAGCAAGCTAACCAAAACAAACCAATAAATAAACTACCCTTTAATTTTATCTAAGATTGATATAATATTTATTCTGGAAAGGTATTATATTTGTAGCACATTCAAGTAATACCCTTTCAGTTTTTATCACTGTGATGTAGAGCACCCAAAATGTCTTGTATTGTCTGCATAAGATTTACTTATTAAATATTAAAACCATATTTTTATTCAGAAAAATGGTGATTGTTACTTTCGCAGACCTATAAAACAGTGCTCATATCCCATAGCAGTGACAGATGAATCTTGTAAAAGTCATTGTAAATATTTGAGTAATGTTTTTTAATTTTCTTGACAAGAGAGGTAAAGATGATTTAAGGAATAATATATGGAAAAAAATAATCCGGTTTTAATAAACAGCTGGGTGTGGTTAATATGAAGAAATTCACCTTCAGGAGGTCTGGATAATGAAAAGATAAGGCCAGATGATAGGTAGAGGCCGCTGAAGCCAGGAAAAATCAAATGTCAAAGAGACAAACAAAAGGATTTCTTCTCGCAGGAAGAAAGGCAGCCTCCGTGTTATCCTTTGTCTTCAAATTTTCTAGGAAAATACCAGAAAGCATTTTCCAGATCAACATGTTTCAGCTTTGTCATCCATCATGTCCATGTATAAACAAAATGTCAGTTGTCAAATCACAGCATAATTTTTGTACTTACTGTATATTTTATTTCTAGAGCATTTATCTCCCAACTATGTATCCTGTTTATATTTTGAATGCACAAAAGTGCCCCCAAAATACAAGAAAGCAGCACATCACAGGATGGGATCTTGGAAGAGGAATAACCTAATGGTAAATCAGTAACTTTCAATAACCAACTGAGGTAAAATAAATCAGTGCACCACATAAATATATATCCACCCTGAAATAAGAAAAACCAAATCTTGCACTATAAGCCTCCAAATTGGTAGTGGACTTAGGTAATAGTACCAACTATAAATGGGAAGTAACATGCATTGTAAAGGATTGAATATTGAATATAAAAAGTACTTATAAAGAAGCTGGATCATAAATATTTTTTCTTGTTAGATTAGACTAGTGGTGTGCAACTCGTACTTACCCATTCCTTCTGAAGCTATGGCTGAGTGGTTGGGACAGAAGTGCTGTTTCCCTGTTGTTGACAATAATGGAAATCTGTAAACCTGAGCGGTCACAGGGAAGGAAGTTTTCAGTTTGTTTGTTTTTTTACATCTAGTAAAGGTCCATTTTCTCTTAACTACAAACCTATTTACATATTTTGCCAACAAAATTGGCAGACCCATAGATTTGTCTATTCCTTTTCGAAAGAAATCTTTGCCAGAAGAAATCTTTGCCATCAGTCGCCAGGTTTCCAAATTTGGCAATGAATTCTAAAAAATATTTCCTTGGTTATTCTGAGAGTATGCTAACCAATAATATCACTGTAAATTGTAATTTTTATGGTGAAGAGAGAAAAATTATGAATAGAGTTGAGATAATAATTAAAATAATTTCGCTCTCCCCACCATGCTTCTTCCTTAGTTAACTTTTTTTCACATTAGAAAACCAAACATCATTGACTATTCCTTGAAAGAAAAATATGTCATCCTTTCAATAACTTAGTTGCCACTCTATGTATCCTTGGAATTTTGGATAAATAAATGTGTGCATATATTTGTTGATTACTTTTAATATTGTTGAAGAACACAGAAGATGTAAGAAAAGAAGATTCACTGAAAGCTCTTATACCTTATTTGCTACTATTACTCTTACAGCTCAAGAATTGCTACGGAGTCATCCAGATATAGGAATTTATTTAGTTGGTATATAAACAGAAGTTTAGTGAATATTCCTATGAGGGGAAGAATTTTAAAAGAATGGGCACAGCCAAGGAATTG